TCTCCTAATTCAGCATACCAAACAGCCCCTAAAAGTATTTCAAAAACACTACATCAATTTTACACTGCATTCTTTTTACACTACATTCCTTTTTCAACTAATCAAATAGTCCAAAATAGTTCCTTTCAGCAAGTTTAGCCACTAGCTAAATTTGATGAATCAATCATATTAATTATGTTATGATCAATAAAAAGGTTGTTACCAAGGTTGCGACTAAGATGTAGAGCCCTTCTGAACTCAACCACGTCAATAGTTTGTTCTTTCTTACTACTTCTTAGGGATTCACTAACTGTTTTCATATCACCGTCTCTGCATTGCCATGCGTACACTAACAGGGATGTTTTACCATCGCCTTGCATTCTCGCTGCCGTGAAATACTAAGTTTTATGCATTTTAAATCTGTAAAAGAAAATTTTAATTTCTTTGATTAAGGCTTTGTTTGGACGGCTTTTTTTTTGCTTCTTAAAGCAGTTTTTTAGTACAAAATTAAAATTTTTGTACTAAAAAGCTGCTTTAAGAAGTAGAAAAAAACTGCCCCAAACGAAGCCTAAACCTGCAGATTGTTTACCGTTGGAACTTGCATTAGATACACATGAGTTGAAAGTTCATTTAGAATCCTTAATATTTTTTTTTTATATATATCTCAGTTCTAACTTTAATTTTCCATGGATGGTACATTTGGTAGTTCAATTATAAAATTGTTGGAATTAATGGACCCGTTCAAAGTTTTGAAGAGGAGAAAACTCTTCTCTCTTGTTGTTTTTTACTAATCTTGATATTGTTTAATTCATTCTTGTGTATTGGTTAATCAAAAGAAAATTTTATTTTAGGACTTGTTTGTAACGGTTGTAAATTTTTATAAAGCCGGTTGTAAACACTACAAGAAAATTGTCAATTTTCGATAGAAAACTTTCTACCCGTAAAATACATGTAGGAAAATATATTCCGTCAGGAATAAATTTGTTGGAAATGTTTATGACGGATTTCTGATGAAATTATGAAAAATTAACGGACTAATCAAAACCTGTCGCAAACAATTCACCCTGTAGCTTCCGCCGAAAGTTTCAAGCGGATTTTTCTATCAAAAATTCATCAAAAACTTACATCTAAAATCCATCTATTTTCCTCCAGAAACTCCATCGTTATCCATGTGTCAAAGATTTCCGACGTAGCAACTTATAAAAAAAATTCCAACCCCTTCCTAAATGCAATAGAAATAATTTATAATTCACAACAGATTATGCAAATTAATATATTATAACAAACTCTTATAATTCTGAAATAATATTGTAAGCTAATAATAATAATAATAATAATAATAATAATAAAATTGTTCAAAACATAAATCTTATGAACAGTCAAATTACAATTGTATTAATATCATTATCAAATTAAACATTAAGTTCACAACATTTTAAAATAAATCTAAAACATCTAATCATATTCAGTGTCTTAACTCTCCTCAGGCTTAGGTATGCTGCTGAACTTTCATCTTTCGATTTTCTTTTCTGTATGATCACAATTTTGCTTGCATCTGAGATTGTTGTGACAATATATTGGCTTATATTTATCTAATCTGCTCTATCTCTTGGGTGAGAAAGCCACTCATCGACTTACAATCTCCACAATTCCGCTATCATCATATGATGCTAAGCTAGATTGGTTTGTCTCATATGTGTATGCCTGAGAGCTTAATCCATAAACTCGCCCCTTTTTGCCTCCCTCCCACTGCCTATGATCACGTGTGATAGTCAGAGTAGTGTGTTGATCCTAAAGATGATTCCTGACTAATAGAAGGTTATCTCTCTCAAATTAGTATAAAATCATCCTGCTAAAAATGAAATACATGAAAATCCATTTAGATTTAAATTTTATACATGAACATTATATATATTTAAGACTCATACGAGCTTTCTTTATTTTTTTTATTAACCCCTGGTAATCTTTTTAGCGTTGATGTGTGCGTGTATGCAGCTCTAATGGTGATTGATCTCTACCAAGTATCATTTTTTATAAGAAAGCCTTGTTAAGACAATGAATATATTTGTAAAAGAGAAATTATTTACTTGTCATCGTTTATGCTTGGTGTGAGACTCATAATCATAAGTATCAAAGGAGCTCCCTAAACCCCCACTGTCGGATGCTCTATTTTGCTTGTTCTGCTCTCTCTTTTTAGTGAATTCAAGGCTTTATCACTAATTGCTTAGTTCAATACAAATCTATGAGAATTAAGTTATCCTCGAGCTTGGTTTCCTTAAGCAGGCAGATGAACTCATTGAAGTACTCTTAAATGAGCAGTACAACCACCCTAAATTGGTTGTTGAGCAACATGTAGCAATTCATAGATTTTTTTTTTCTTTTATTTTAGGTAACCATATATATATATATATATGTCCCTTTAAATTTGGACATACTGCATCAAAAACATGTTCTTTATATGTTCTATTATTTTGATTTTTTTATATTATTCTTGAAGTTGTGGAGGGACCACACTGAGTGTCTGAATGTATTCATACTCTCCATATAATGTCCAAAATTAATACTATGGGATACATTCTCTACCATATAAATCAAGTTTAACTTTATTGGGCTTAAGGTAAGCTTGATTTTTATGCTTTGAGCATGAACATCTAAAAACATTCCATCAAATATAAATGAATGTAGTTGATATGCACTCTCCTAATAAATTCATCTGTTAGTGATTTTCATCCTGGTAACAATCTATTATATATCCAACACCTCTCAACTCAGATATCCATATGTAGCTCGAGTTAACAATCCTAAAAATAAACAATCCTGCAAAAATAATTAAGAGTACTCCTCTTTCTCTAACATTAGTTCATTACATTATGTGTGCTATTTATTATGCATTAAAAATGTATTTCACTAATTTCATTGAACAATCCTAAAAATAAAAATTAAAGCCTTGATGTTGTTGTTGTGAAGAAATGAAGGAAAATAAGGTATAAACCACCTCGAACGGCGATGAGTCACGAAGAGGCCAAGAGTTAATTTTGGGATAAAAAAAGGTAAAATGCGAGGGAGTGATGGAATTGGGATGAAATAGGGCTCTTACAGGCAAGAATTTTGACAAATTTTTCCACCTTAATTTCAGCAAAATTTTTGACATAATATGTTGTCAGAAAATCCGCCAAGCTAACTAATTACCGAGAGAAATTCCGAATTTTTCCACTAGTATTTCCTCTGGTAATTGATGGGTTTTCTGTAGTGAAATATGTTATGGATAAAGAAACTTTTTTTAAAGCTCTTATAAAAAAGTTTTGGAATTAATAAAAAAGTTTTGGAATTAATTTGCCATAGATGGTATATTTGGTAGTTCAATATGAAAAGTGTTGGAATTAATGGGCCCCTTCAAAGTTTTGAAGAGGAGAAAGCTCTCTTCTCTTGTTGATTTTTGCTAATCTTGATATTGTTTAATTCATTCTTGTGTATTGGTTAATCAAAAGTAGTTTTTTTAGGGTTTGTTTCAAACGACTGCAATTTTTAATGAAGATTGTTGTAAAGGCTTTGTGGAGAAAATAACTTTTTTTTTGAAGTTGTTATAGAAAGAAGCTTCCTAGCACAAAGATTTCTTAAAAATAATGAAAAGGAAGTGACCAAATAGAAAATATGATTGTGGTTTGAAAGTAAAATAAATAGGAATATTGTCTTGAAGGAAGCCTTACTATTTTGGAATTTTCAATAACATTTGTGCAAATGTAGTGTATAATATGTTTTGATCTTAATCTAAAATATGAAAGAGGGGGTGGCTTAGTTTTGAAAGCCTACTCATATTTAGATTTCAATCACACCCAAAAGGCGAAAGATTCCATATTATTGCTCTTATGATGGTTGATATCATCATTGATATTTGCATCATCTCCTAATATTGGAGATGATAAATAGCAATTTATTTCTTTGTTTGAATGAAAAATAATAGATATAATTATTTTTCTTTTTGAATAATGTTAAATTATTTCTATAAATGAATGAGAGTGATGATGAATGAATTATTTTCAAGTTCATATTTTGATGAAAAAAAAAAAAACACACTTTAAATTATGGTGATTATAATTAATTTAACATATTTCAATTTGGGAAAGTTTTCAAAATTGAATAATTTTCATTTTTTACATGAAATTCGCCCTAACTATTTAACTATTCCTCTCACGCATAAATATTGGATGAAGCAACAAATATATAGGTAGTAAATATTCTTAACAACCCAAGGAGTAGAATTCATATTTGGAATAAAACCAAGTAGCTATAGGGCATGTGGTTTGTGAAGGAATGTGGAGGAGAAAGACAAAATATTGCAAAGTATGTTGAATGTGTAATCATATTAAAAAAAAGAAAGAGATGTTTATGAATTTTCATAGAAGAATTAACAAAAAATTTGAACATGAATGTTTCTATTAATTAAAACATCTATAGTTTTAAGACCTCCAATTAAGCTAATCATGAAAAAAATATAAAATCTAAAGATGAATTTACTTCGGAGGATCTCAGAGATATTTTCAGAGTGGAAGACTGAGATTTAATAATCATTCTCAAGTGAGGTTCCCTACAACCAAATCAGAAGAGGCTATTATCGTATTACATAATTATAGGCATAGAAGAAATATTTTCATGTATATGAGCAAAAAAGGAAAGAGAAAAATGCCGGTCATTATTTTGAATGATGATGAATATATAGTAAAACATTAGTAGACATCAAAGGAAATGATGAAAATCTCATATAAAAATTTGTCCCAACAAAAAATACCAAAAGAGATTTTTCTTATGATTTTATCAGCAACCAATTTAAGCCCTTCCAGTACACTGACATTTTATTAATACCACATTTGTACAGAAATATATATTTATAATTCCACCATCTAACGAAGAGAGAGTTATACTTCCCATGAAATAAATCCGATAAGAAATTCCTTATTGAAATTCTATAAAATAATTACTCTTCTCTGGTGTTCTTGCTCTATGTGAAAGCTAATTTTGGATATATAGTAGTTCTGTTCCATGTATTAAACTACCCTATAGTAAGAAATAAAACAAGCAGGCTAGCAATGAAAAGGAAGCTACAAGCGGCAGTAGAACCACTCGTCCACCCCGCTCTTCACGCCGCTCATTTTCATGCCAACGGTTCTGTTCCCATCCCGGCATCCATGTCCGGCGAAACAGCCACTCCCACAAACCAGACAGATTCACCATCTCCGACCGCAGCTGCCCACCATCTCCTCCTCCTCCATCGCTGTTTCTCCTCCGCTCGCCATCCGCAACCTTGTCGACTGGAAGCTCAAACCTACACACAGGACACGAGTTATGCAATCGCAGCCACGGCACGATGCAGTCTGAGTGGTACACGTGCTGGCACGGCATCTCCCTCGCCTCTTCCCCCACGGTGAAATCTTCCTTGCACACCGGGCACTGTGAACCGTCTTTGAGATGCGATGCGGCGATGGCCACCGTCGGCAACGCGTGGATTGACGATGCTGATGCCGGCGGCGGCCCGGGGCGGTCGTTCTGCGTTATGTTCTCGATGAAGTCGTTGAGGTTAGGGCCCGTGTAATAGTCTTGGGGATGGAATGTGTGGGGAAGAGGCGGAGGCGGTGGCGGCGGGGGCGGCGGTGGCGGCGGGAGGAGCGAGGGGATATGGTATTCGTGGACGAAGTGGAGGGAGCAGCGGGGGCAGATGAAGGTGGAGGTGGCGGAGGGTGGGAGAAAGATGGGGATGAGATGGCGGCAGTGATGGCACCAAAATAAGCGGAAGGAACGGGGGAGGTTTGGTTGGGGAAGGGGAGGGCGGCGCAGAGACATTGGCTTGGATGGATTGAAGGGAGAGAAAGCTTGGCGTGGAGCTTGAAGAAGTAGGGTGCAGGAGAAGGATACAGGAGAAGGGTTGTTTTATTGGAGTGTGTTGGCGGTTAGAGAGGTAAGGAGATGTTTAGGTGGAAGGATATCTTGGTGGAAAGTGCAAAGCGATGCTAGGGTATAATTGGGCCTGTCCAAACTATTCTGTGCGGTCACCGGATGTCGTCCAGAGATGAATCAAGATGCGTTACGTTATTTTTATATAACGGATAACGTGGTGTATCCTGATTCACCTCTGAACGGTCCAATGACCGCATAGAATAATTTCTCCTATTGGATATAGATGATTGTGCTGTGATGTTTTGAACATTAAACTTCAACTGAGGATCACATTAGGCTCTTTATTTGTGATCATATCACCAATTGTTGGTTGGTCCTAAAAACCATCACAAATATGCAGGAATTTTATGGTGATAAGGTATTCTCCAGTCGAACGTCAAATATGTGTTTGGCGTTGTTAGGTCGCTCTAGTCGAACGCCAAACTTTGCGCTATTTGCTTGCGGGTGAACAAAATTGACGACGTCCAGTTCACTTGCTATATGTTTTTTTTAATATAAATATATGATTAAAATATAAAAAATAAAGTATTAGAAACAATATATTAGGAATATATATTTTTGGTGTTAGAAAATGAAGTTCAAATGTATTACTATATTTTAAAGTGAAATTGAATTTTTTCGTTGGAGATGCCCTTAGAAGAAAACTTTAGGTGGGGCTCAGTACCTTTCATCCATTAGCTCTTTAATGAATTCATTTACAATTCAAACTACTACGCTGTTTCCCAACAAAATTATCTAATTGAAGATTGCTTCATCCAACCTAACTTGTTACATAATCTTAATTGTTTTTGGTACATAATAATGTGGCTCAACCTAATCAGATGTACCAATTTTTCGGACTGTTGCGAGGGGGATAATAATTGGGGTGCTCAACAATCATCAAACTACCCCTCTCTAAAATCTATCATAAATCTCAGCTAATCCAATTTTATGTAAGTACTTGTGAATGCTCATCATGGCGTGCTTAATTAGACTCTCTTTATATGCAAGAAATTATTAGAAAATTCTATTAATGTATATTTATTCATTAAAAAATAAAAAAATATTAATGTAAAAATTGTTGACCTCGTTTTTCTCCCGATTTGTCATCGGACGCGTTTGATTGAGTTGATCGAGCCTCGTCGAGCCCGATTCATTTTGAATCGACATTAATTTGAGATTGATTTTATTTTATCTTATTTTATTGAATTAATTTTGGTTGAGTCGAGGCGAGTTTGAGTTGACCCGGATCGAATTAGCCTTGACTCAATTTTAAACCTAATTTTAGTCACTTGGGTCTAATCAGGTCCTAATTAAAATTTGATTGACTCTCCAAGCCAAGTGGAATCCCACCGTCGGATCAGGAATTTGATCGGACGGCTCTCGCCCTCACATCGAAATTATCCCTCGGTGCCCTAATTGAGGCCGAAGCCTCCATCTCACAGGGGCGGCCTCTCTCACTCTCGGTCTCGGCAAGGGAAGAGGCGAAACCTCCCCCCGCTCTTCCTCTCTCTTTTGTTCGCACGAAGCTAGGCAAAAGCCCGACTCCCCCTACCTCCCGTTCACGGCTCCGTCTCCCCTGGGTTCGGACAAGACCCGAGGCCGAGACTTCTCCCTCCCTGCTCTAGCTGTCGGATCTACCTCCTCCTTTAGCCGACCGAAATCTCCTCTCTCTCGATCTCTCCCTCTCTCACGCTCTCTTTCGCTCCCAGTCCCTTCCCGTTCGTGAATGAGAGAAGAGGCCGAAGCCCTCACTCCTTCTCCCTCGTTTTCTCTCTCGGTTCGCAAAAGACCCGAGACGGTCGGACCCCTTATCTCCGTCTTCTCTGTTCGCACGAAGCCAGGTCAGGATCCCAAGCCAACAACAGCTCTCGCCCGACCTCCAGGACTGATCCCGTCGCCACGCCTGACGCCGATCTGGACGAACGACCCAAGCCCGTCGCATCTCATGCCTTCGCCGTCGGCCTTCTCTGCTACAGGTGACTTCCTCCTCTTCTTCCTCTTATTCTCCTTCTTCTCCTTCTTCTTCTTCTACCTCGTGCCTTCATTCCTCCCTCATGTCCTCTTCTTCTCTTAAGAGGCTCTTAAGAATATGAAGGTTACGAATATTCTGATGACATATTTTATGCTTGAGTGACTCTTGTGTTGGATTTGTGAGATTCTTGTGATTTACTTTTCATACAGCATTTTTTTTTAATCTCCATGTTCTTTGTATTCTCTGTTTAGTAAGAAATTTGTGTAAGATTATTTCTGTGGTTGAGATGGAATAGCATTAGTATGTTATTGTTACATTGTTGAGGTCAAGGAACCATGGCTTGAAAGTTATCTCTGCATGAAGGTAGAATCCATATAAGAAGCGTTGAGATTATTATTATTATTATTTTCTTTCTTTTAGTTATGAATGACGATGGGTTGTTCTTGTAAATATATATTTCCATGGCAAAGTCTTGGGAGTTTGAAATGCGCATAGTCTTTAAAAAAAATAGAGGAAGTATAATCATTCTTAGTCTTTGGAGCTCTTAGTCTTTGGAGCTATCTTCTGTTACAATGAGAAAGGGGAAAAGTCACGTTATTCTTTGTTAAAAAAGAAATATATATACTCAAAGTGCTTGTATTTTTGTTTCTTTGAAAATAGCAGAAATATTTGATCAAACAGTAATGATTGGAAAGTATACTTATGCTTTGATATGATGTGAGGGTTGTGCTAACGATTTGTGTATGACATTCATAAGCTTTCTCGAATTGCAAAATACTATTTATATTCAGTATGAGATAGAGCTTTCGTTTATAATCGAGTGATAATCTTATACTTCATGAAGCATGTTTTAGATCAGCACATATCTATGCTTTGGTCGCACGCTTGGCTTGTTTATTTAAATGGGTACCCTTACCTTGGATGAATTGTTTCATAGGATGGATAGAAGACTTAGGTTGATTTATATCGTTTGAGAATAAAACTTCTGATGTGTAAGACTCGTTTTATGAATGGATTGCAAAATTTTGTTAGAAGATGTGTTATCCTCTAAAAAAAGGGGTATGTGCAAAATATTCATGATAATGTCTATTTAAAAGAAATAAAAAAAATCGGATTGATAGAAGATGGTTAGCAGAATCTAAAGGTTTGGGTAAAGTGAAAAGCTTGCTCATTCATGTAAGATACAAGGGATAGCTATGTACAAAGCATGTGTATAAGTTGACTCATATGAATTTTATGGAGAATTAGAGAAAGTTGGAGAAGAGAAATCATGCGCTGGTTCATTGATTTTGAATCGAGGTGTTATTGTTTGGCTTTGGCATACTCATCTCATTGATTGAGGATGAGTTGATTTATATATATCAGAGATAATAATAATATTCATGCTTACTTGTGTTGGCAACCGGAAGTGACATATGGTAGGTGTTTTGATTATATTTGGGAGATTTTCATATGCTATATGTGTTTCATGTACGTCACGTTTGAAATGGATGATATGAAGTCTTTTAAAAGAAAACAAACGATATACTTCATAGTTATTTCTTTCTCTATTCCAAAATCTTGGGGAGTTTTGTGTGGATTATGGAAGGTTATGAAAACCTGTGTTATTCTTTATCAAAGTATGTATGCAAAATGTATATAATAATACCTCCAAAGAAAGTCATACTTGTTTTGCTTGTGTTGGGAGCATGTGTAGTGATATTGTTCATATGGAAGTTGCCCCAATATATTATCTAAGAGTAGTAATAGAAATCGGAAAATGGATTCAGTCATTTGATGAGGTGTATATAGAGTTGAAAGTCATCCCTTCGTGAAGTATATTTCTTTTGTTCAATGCTTGTCGATAGATCTTGTCTTTTAGTAGTCTTTGTGTATGCGGTTTTCAAAGATTGTTGCCGAAAAGGATTGATGTGTATTGCGACACATAAGGTATATGATTTCCTGTATCAAATCAGGTGGTATCAAAGTACGTTTGAGGCGAGTCTTCTCCATGACAGATTTTCCACAACCTTTGTTGATTGTCTAGTTTCTTTGTGACATGAGACGCCCTTTTCTTGTTGTCTTTCTTCTTTTCAATAAATATGAAATTGATTTCAAGCTCTTGATAAAATTGTTTGAATACATTTGACATTAAAGGAAGCTTATGAATCATTTTTGTGACTTAAAAGGCTTTTATGATTTATCATATATCAGAAAATTTCATAGTTCGCTTTACAACTGAAAAGATCTACGGGCCATTTTACATTGAAAGGTTTTATAAATGGTTTTGTATTGGAAGAGCTTTGTGAATGTTTTATAATGGAAAAGTCTCATGAAGCCTTCTTATTAGAAGATTTTTCATGAATTTACCCCACTCCAAATATAGTAAAGAAGCACTTGATCGTCTTTTGGGTCAAAGATTTTGGTAAGTGATTTATGTGGAGTTTTATGCGATTTTGGGTAGATGACTTATATAAAGTGCTGTGTAGCTTTTTCAAACAAAAGAAAATTTTCATAAGTTAGATTTGGGTTTGGGATTTTCTTTTTGTAAATTGGATTTGTATTAGCAAGTTTCTCTAGATCCTTCTCTTTGAGATGAAGTGATTTATCTTGCATAGGTTGTCTCTCTTTCATTAATGTTTGCTTCTAAGATGTAAGTTTGGAAGAATGTGGTGGGTAGAAAGAGATCTAGTTCTAGTTCTAGTTTTGGGAACTTGAGCTTCCCTCGCCGTTTCAAGTTCGTTTGGAGAATGGTTCATGTAAATGAGTCATGTAATGTATCAAGTGCTTTATTTGGAATGTGGGAACATCAAAGGGCATTGTAAATGTTGCTTTTGGACACACTTGACTTCACAGAAGTGTGCCCAATAACTACAATGCCTACATTCCTTTTATTTCTAATTTTCATTCTTTTCTTTCTACTGCATTGCTACTTATTATAGTACTTTTATTCATAGACCCATGAACTTAGTGACACGTACGAAAGTCTTAAGGGTCAGAAAATAACACATCTTTTAGTCCTACAACTCTAGTGACATTTAAG